GGACGCCGGACCCGTTTTCCAGCAGGTGATGCTCCCCACCAATAGATGGAGCCGCTTCCCAGGTGGTAGTGGTGTCTGCTCTTATCAGCAACACTAACACTGATGGGGCCGTTTGCTTTCAATATATATATATATATATATATATATATATATACTTCTCCCTCTCTGCCTATGGTTTACCGGGCAGTTCTATTTGACGATATATATATATATATATATATGCCTCTAGTGCCAGCGGCGTGTCTGGAGTGTATTTTTTGGCTGTGACAGACCTTTCTTTGTTTCGTGGGTGTTTTGCTGGCTTGTGATGGGGTGTGAACCAACAGTCTGTAGAGTTTTCCATCTGGTGTGGGTGAGTGATAGTCTACTTTGACTTCGGTTAAGGTGGATTATCACTTACAGTGTAATCAGTAAGGGAATTCTACAGACTATTGAGGGTTCAGCCTCCTGATGAGTTGGTGAAACTCCGACGAAACAGTTTGTCACAGCCCCTCGTTTGTTGTCCTCTTCTCCCTCTCTGCCTACGGTTTACCGGGCAGTTCTATTTGACGATATATTGATGCAATGCCCAGGGTCAGTTCTGTGGTGGAGAAGATGGGACTGTATATGGAGAAATTTTACAGGTTTGGAATGGCCCCAGGATTGGCGAGCCATCTTGTTAGGACACTGGGACCCTCCTTGTCTTCAACTTTTTTTTTTTTTTTTTTTTCTTCATAAGAACGCTACGGTTTCTGAGGTTGCGCTAACACTCCGCGTAGTCGCAGCCGGCAGGGTCCGGCTGCCCTCCGCACAATCAGGTGCCCGCGTCTGTTGACCGTGAGCCTCCTGAGCCACACGTCTTGCCCCACGTTTTGTGGTGACGCTGACGTGGCAGCCCCACTGCATGTGGGAGTGGCGAGAGGAGTGGGAGAACGTCGGTGCGTTTTTTGTGGCGGATCGACAGTTTGACACTCGAGATGGCTTCGACTGGAGAGTTACAACGAGGAGCCGCCGAGTGGCTCTCGATCATACAGGCAGGTCGGCGTCGTCGACGGGAGATGGTGGAAGCCCTGCGTTCAAAGCAGGGAGATCGGTTGGAGGATGATGGGGGCCCAGCCCCACCGACCCCGTCGTTTCAGGGTGTGATGCAAAACATGATGCAGGTCATTTGGGAGTCGGTGGAGGGGCCGGCTCCTCAATTGGATGATTTCATAGACTGGCAACAGGTAGAGACTCTGATGCAGTGCTGTTACGGCATTTTTGAGGAGGGGCAAGATTTGTATGCAGCGCTGGAGCAGGGGTGGTATCTGCAATCTGGTGTAGGAGGCCAGAGGCTAACAGCGGAGGAAGGAGAAGAACCGCCATTCGAGGACTCTATGGCGCCCAGTAATCAGTGGACGGGGTCGGATCTCCTGAGCGATTGTTGGTCATTGAATGATAACAACAATAACAACAACATTCCTAGCAACGTCAACAAAAAATATGAACAACAACAGCGCTAACAACATCGATAGTTGCAACAACAACAACGATAACAACGACAGTAAGGACGACAACAGATCAACGGCGATATTACGATCGACGGCAACAACAATGGCAACATCGACAGCGACACCAGCAATAATCACAGCAAAAACATGATCATCAACAACAACAACAACAGCGATCACAATACGACTACCTTGCACCCTTCAAGGAAGTGCAGCAGCAGCGGCGATGCTATCAACAACACCAACATCGGTCAGGTTTTCATCATCGCCAGTAATGGTGACAACGAAGGTGGCGGTCACTTCATCATTCTTGTGCACAGCAACGACCTCACCGCCGCCTTTGATTTCAACGCCAACTACAATATCATTTGGGGTCAACCTCATCAACTACAGGTGCTTATGGCAAGGGTTCGTATGGTTTACCACTGGGGACACTCCCGTTATCCCTGCTCGGTCCCTCCTCTCTTGTCCTGTGTTCTGAGGGTGCGGGGGTAGGAGGAGTGCTCTATCTCAAGGGAGGGGTGCATGGCTTGTTCGATTGGGGGAATACTCCTGTCACCCTTGAGTATTTTCCCACCTTAATCTTGGGTGCTCAGTGGCGGGAGCGCAAAGGGATAGGGTAGTGGGGGAAGAAAACGTGGTGATCGATAGCGGGACTGAGCATCTATATGTCTGCTCTCACTGATGAGTTTTGATGCCTGTCCTTGATGATTCTTCCGCCCTCCCTCATTTGCTCATCACATATGTTGCCAGGAAGGAATGGCTACAGGCCGGGTTTCTCCCATGGAATCTGATTTGCCCCGAATCAACTTGAAATTCTGTTCGATTGGGTAGTATGTCTTTTGATTTGATTTTATCTGATTTGATATGATTTGATTTGCTCTGATTTGATTTGATTTGATTTGAGTTCATCTAAATTGCATGGCATTTTGTTTGATTTGATTGGACCTGATTTAATCGATTTTGCTCAGATGTAGTGCCTTGGTTTTAACTGGGATTATCGATTAGGTCAGACCCCCTCCTCTCATGGTGTTGAATGGTCCATGTACTGGGAGATGAGTGGAGCAGGGCAGGGTAATGAAGATAGGGTTTCGATGAGCAGTTAATCCCCTTGTATGAGCGCAATCAATGTTGCTCATCATTAAAAGTCAGACTCTGTGCATATACTACAAACAGCACAAACACATGTCTGTTTAAACAAATGATTACAATGTTCAGGAACACTGGACCTGCTTTCTAGCAGGTGTTGCTCCCCACCAATAGATGGAGCCTCCCCGGCAGTGCTAGTGGTGTCTGCTCTTATCATCACCCCTACCGTCTTAACCCGAAAACAAGGTGCGTACCTTGTAGTATACGAATACGAGGTACGGGGTACCTTGTATTCGAATACAAGGTATGTACCTTGCAGAACAAATTTTAGGGTGCAACTTTCCTAGAGCGAGGGAGAAAAAAAATAAAAACATATATAGTAAATATTAGTAATAAAGAAATAGGAAGGAACCCCGCACCTGTGAGTAGGCCTCTAAGGGCGAGGTACTTGCCCTTCTTCATTTCCTTTGCTTTTGTGTAGAGCTGTCGGGCAAGGTCCCTATATGTCGTTTCAGCATCAAATTTTGTGCCTGAATCTGAACGTCTTTGGGGAGAGGTGCGAAGCATCTCGATTGATCTGCTGCTATGCATCTCTACGAAAGATATGTCCAAAACCAGGACCGTCTACATAAAACTCCAAGAAGTAGGTACGTGCGTTATACAAAAACTTCTTAAATTTTTTTAAAAACATTGTACATACCTTTTCTTGCAGGTGCCTTCTCATGGTTGTGCACTTGTTCTTGGACTCGCACGATCATGAGAAGTGGTTGGAAAAAAAAATCTTGCCCTGCGCTCACAATCCCGCACGCATTCTTCTCTTTCCAAACACGACTTTTTTTTTTTTTTTTTTTTTTTTTTTTTTTTTTTTTNTGATCAGCAGCGGAAGGAGATCCTTGGGGCTTTTGAGAAGTGCTACCCACAGAACTTGGTTCTGAAGAGGACCGACGATGGGAATGGTATTTTGTTGTTCCTTGGATGCGAGATTCGAACCAAAAGCTCCCGACCGTACCTAGGTTGTGTTCAATTGGTCAAAAACGAGGAATCAGTTTGGTCTGAAGAGAAGTTGACTTTTAAGAATGGGCAATCCTATTCTTCTTGGGGGAGTAAGCAGCAGAAGGCTGCCATTATCGGTAGTTACCTTCATCGGATCCACCAGAATACTACCATTCTTTCCGAAATCCCGATGAGGGTTCTGACAGTCAAGAGAGAGCTGAGAGTCAAAGGATTCCCTGCGAGAATCTTCGAGTGTGTCCTCAGAGCGTTTGCAGTGGGCAAGGACGCTGTCTGGAAATGGACTGTGGATTTCTTGTTTCCTTGAATTTGTTGTTCGATTTTGTGCTGTTTTGAATAGGTTAGGTGGCAGGATGATCGGGTGGTTTTTTGGATCATCTGACAGGGTTTTCGTTTTTCTTTTCTTTTCTGTTTTTGGTTGACACTGTTATTTGCTTTTCCTCTGGTAGGAGTGTTTTTGACTTCTGTTTTTGAGGGCCTGAGCGCCTCGATGGGTGCTACCGGTTGTTGAGGCCCCTTGACTCGTTTTGATTTGTTGTTTACAGACAGCCTGAGTAACCCACGGTGGTCCTTGTTTTTGAGGGTAGTGGGAAACCCGGTACTCTGGCTGCTTGCTTGTTTTTTCGGCACTGTTTGTCTGTGATAAATAGGAACACGATCAGGATAGTCGACCTTTACGATGGGACTGACGGTACTGTAGCTGTGCGGTATCCGGTATATCGCCTAGTGATAGTGACGGAAGTGGGAAAGTGGAGTAACGGAGTAGCTTCGGGATGGAAGTTGGAGGAAACCCCCTGGGGGACGCCGATTCTCATCTTGTGTTCTATGATTTTTCGTTGACTACATGTGTTTTTACCATGGTACCTTTTAATATCTATTACGGCACACGTCAACTCTCTTGGGGAAGAATTACTGAGATTAAGTGAGCGTGATTTCTATCCAAACCATCTATTCTCTTCGTCTTTTCTTGCCTTTGCTCCTACTTTCTGGCTCATTTACTGTTTTGTTCGAAGTTGGGTTATAGCCAAGCATCTTGGTGATACCGTGAAGTCATTTGTTGTAACAATGGGAGACCGGCGCGACTACGATGGTGGAAGACGAAGATCAAGTAGTGAAGACCATGGCAGCCACCACGGATTTGACCGACGAGATGATAGGAGGGATGATCGATACCACCGGCGCTCGCCTCCACGTTGTTTTAGCTGTAATGAAATTGGTCATTATGCTAATCATTGTCCGAATCGCTGGCGTGCACCGAAAGCGAAGCCGTCGACGTCGTACGATGTGAACCGTGGTCGATCGGCATCCCCAAGGAAGGGCTTTGGTGCGACGAGTATGGCCACCAAACAAGAATCTGAGGAATTGCGACACAAGATCGAGGAATTGAACGAGAGTCTTGCATCGGTCTCGGAGTTTGTTTTGGCTGAGAAGGCAAGGAAAGCTAAGGAGGAGCGTTTACGTTTAGAAGCTGAAGCGGAAACAGACAATGGCGCAATGAGAAGAAGTTGAAAGATGAGCAACATGACGCTGAGATTGACAAGAAGTTGGAGATCCAACTGGCAATTAAGATTGGGGATTTTTTCGATCGCATGGAGGCAAATCTTGGACCAGTTTTGGAGTTCGTTCGTAAGACTCGGACAACGAAGCAACCAGTACGAGTACCTGATGACTCGAATGATGATAGTGGGGGAAGCGCTACTGAGGACATCCGAGCTCGTACTAAGAACCTGATTATCCATGAGAAGAGGAAAAGGGGACCTGAGGTAGTTTTCGATGATAGTCCGCCTCTTGTGACTCCGGCCAAGCGCACGCCACGTCGGACTGATACGAAGAAGAAGGCGGTGCGTACTCCTGGCCATGCTACCATGTCGAAGGCGAAGGTGAGGACAAAGCTATCACCATATGTGGAGAAGCTTAAGAAGACCCCAGGACAACCAAGTACTGTCGAGAAGCTGCGCTTTCGTAACCAACAGATGGAAGACCTTCGAGCTCTCGGAACTTTGGAACTTCAGGGGATCTGCAAGGATGAAGGAGTGGCTTACAACGGCAAAGTCGACGCGATATTCGATATCGCGAGTTACCGTACTAGGGTTCATTTTGGGGACATCGGACCAATCGATCTGTCAATTGTTGCAGACCAACCGGATGAAGAATCAGCAACTGCTGACGATGAAGTCACGGAACAAGAGGCTTAATTTGTTTACGAATTAGACAAGATTTGGCGGATTGTGGACTACGTTACGGAATACAGGAGACGTTTGAATATTATTGACCATAAAGTCGAGGAACTGCTCAGGTTGTGTGTTGTAGTGCTGAGCTGCAGAAAGGAAATCAGATGAAATGGTAAGCTTGTTGAGTCGTGGCGATGTCTGTGTGATACACACGGTATCAACTTTCTTTCACTATCTAATGTTGTATACATCGTTGTTTCTCCTTTTTGTAAATATCAGTACGTTGGAAAGACCACACACAACGTGGATACACGATGGTGCGAACACCGTTTCAAATGTGGTAGCGTGAAACGCTCTCACTTCCACCGATCGTTATTAAAGAATTATGTGATAGTCTCGATTGATCACACGACTGCCAATGATCTACTGAATCTTGAAGATTTGTATATCAAACAGTGGTCATCATTTTTGAACTGTGCGGGATGTGCTAAGAGCAGTAAGGGGAAAAAGAACCAGAAAGGGAAGAAGGAACGTAAGGGCAAGGATACGAGGGAACGAGTGATTAAACCATTATCTTTCCGCATTGGTACTGCCGAGCGACCTGTCCTGAATCTGATTGATGCACTTACGGAGAGTTTTGAAAGTAGTCAACTAAGGTTGACCATCACGACCAGCGGAGGTAATATTTGGGTTGGCGGGTGGAAGAAGTTGCGTAAGAAATTTGGGGATTCCACGGTTAAGCACGGTAAAACTACTCTGTTATTTCACGCTTGTAAAAATGTGTTTGAGAAGGGTGGTACCTTCGTGATCGAGTATATGCGCATGTGGAAGCCGAAAGCTAGATTTTTGAAGGTTATCTTGTATGGGATTTTGAGGAACCCGAGGAGTATATCTGATTTCTATGTTTGGGGACTGAAGTCTTTGATGAAACTGTATAACGTAATTAAAGACTTCAGTAAGAAATCCACGAGGAAGTACCTTAGACGCTTGTTATCTCGAGTGATCCGTGACAAGTTTGGTTTTAGTATGTCTGCTGATCTCGTAATCCGTGTGAAGTATGATGATCGAATTAGAGTAGTTGAACTAAGGAAGCTTGTTAACGATGCTATTATGGGTTGTGATCTACCTGACTGTTTTCGGAAGCGGGCACGGAAGAAGGTTCGAATCGTTTGGGTTAAAAACCCATCGATCGGACACTTTCTCCACAATCAACGAGCCTTTGCTGCTCGTGAGCCATCCCATCCGAAGTGGATGGTCATGTTTGCTTCCGACTTTGTGATGGAAATCTTCGACACCAGAAAATGGCAAACGTTAATGATATTCCTCAACCAGATGCTCCGAACCGTGTTATGCTGTTACGACAAGAAGTTGTCTCTGGCTTCTCGAATTGGTATAACCTGAAAGGAGCCATGCCTGATTTCAGTGGTTTGAATTTTCATCGTTGTTTTGTCCCAACTGCGGATGTTTCCGACAAGATCTCACTTGACGAAGTGATGTCAGTTAAAAAGGAGTTTGAGGGGTTTGTACTTACCCCCTCGATCGGAACGTCGGTGAAAAGCTAGTGATGTGTCCTTCTGTAAACCAGAAGGCAATGATGGGATCTTTCGTCCTAAGCCCAGGCTATCGGGTTGTGCAGGAATCCGAGAGTGTTGTATTAGCTCGTGTGAAGACTGATGTGCGTGAGGAAGGTTTGAGTAAGTTTGCGCGTTGGGATTGTAATGGTCGTTTTGGAGTATCTTATGTTCTGCCGAAACATAAAGATACTAACCGATTTCGGCCGATATGTGCCACTTTCAAAGAACCGATGGTGAAGACTGGACGAATGGTGGCTAAGGGTTTGAACCATTTGCTTTTTCAGCTCCCTTTTGACAACCACTTTAACCTCCAAGCAGTCTCGAATCTTGCAGATCGGTTACTGCGCATCAATAAGAAGATCGACCATGGGACGAAAGGGAAAGTCGAGTCGGTCTCCTATGACATTAAGGAGATGTTCAGCCGACTCCCCCATGAGGAGATCGTTGATGTTGTTTCTTGGATTGTGGATCACCACCGAAGTAAAGGGAGGTCTTTTGTGCGTGTGAATTCGAGGGGCAGAGGTGCTTCCTTTGGTGAAACCACTGGCTCTGACCATTGGAGACAACTAGATTTTGACGATTTGGTCAAATTTGTGCGCTTTGAGTTGAAGCATACCTATATGTATTCTACCGGTGTTTTGCTGAGACAAGTGATCCGGATTCCGATGGGCAAAAGCACGAGCCCTCCGTTGGCCTGTATACTCTGTGCTTTTGCAGAATGCAGATTTCTGAACAGCCTCGGTACTCTACGGAAGAGAGTTTTTGGTATCAGACTGATCGATGACGTCATTCTGATGACTGCAGCGTTATCTGATCAGCAGCGGAAGGAGATCCTTGGGGCTTTTGAGAAGTGCTACCCACAGAACTTGGTTCTGAAGAGGACCGACGATGGGAATGGTATTTTGTTGTTCCTTGGATGCGAGATTCGAACCAAAAGCTCCCGACCGTACCTAGGTTGTGTTCAATTGGTCAAAAACGAGGAATCAGTTTGGTCTGAAGAGAAGTTGACTTTTAAGAATGGGCAATCCTATTCTTCTTGGGGGAGTAAGCAGCAGAAGGCTGCCATTATCGGTAGTTACCTTCATCGGATCCACCAGAATACTACCATTCTTTCCGAAATCCCGATGAGGGTTCTGACAGTCAAGAGAGAGCTGAGAGTCAAAGGATTCCCTGCGAGAATCTTCGAGTGTGTCCTCAGAGCGTTTGCAGTGGGCAAGGACGCTGTCTGGAAATGGACTGTGGATTTCTTGTTTCCTTGAATTTGTTGTTCGATTTTGTGCTGTTTTGAATAGGTTAGGTGGCAGGATGATCGGGTGGTTTTTTGGATCATCTGACAGGGTTTTCGTTTTTCTTTTCTTTTCTGTTTTTGGTTGACACTGTTATTTGCTTTTCCTCTGGTAGGAGTGTTTTTGACTTCTGTTTTTGAGGGCCTGAGCGCCTCGATGGGTGCTACCGGTTGTTGAGGCCCCTTGACTCGTTTTGATTTGTTGTTTACAGACAGCCTGAGTAACCCACGGTGGTCCTTGTTTTTGAGGGTAGTGGGAAACCCGGTACTCYGRCTGCTTGCTTGTTTTTTCGGCACTGTTTGTCTGTGATAAATAGGAACACGATCAGGATAGTCGACCTTTACGATGGGACTGACGGTACTGTAGCTRTGCGGTATCCGGTATATCGCCTAGTGATAGTGACGGAAGTGGGAAAGTGGAGTAACGGAGTAGCTTCGGGATGGAAGTTGGAGGAAACCCCCTGGGGGACGCCGATTCTCATCTTCTGTTCTATGATTTTTCGTTGACTACATGTGTTTTTACCATGGTACCTTTTAATATCTATCTCATATATCCCTGTGAACAATGTGGCAGAAGGCTTTCCAGTACGACTATCATTGTTTCAACTTTCAAGCTCTATAAAATGTATGAAGGGACGCTGGACCTGCTTTCCAGCAGGTGTGCCCCCAGTAATAGATGGAGCCATCCAAAACGGGGTCTGCTAATGG